TATAAAAAAGATAAATTCAAGGCTTTTGTAGATAAATGGATGCAACTAGAGACTGTAGGAGTAAGTGAAATAAATCAGATCCACATGTGCCAGCATAGTATTATCTCACTGGTTTGAGAACCTGAAACAGTAAATAACATCTGAGAGATATAATAGATACTGTGGAAAGGAAAGAATTTGTTCAATAGGAAGGAAAAATTGAGATGAGGAAAAGGACAAAAGAAAGAAGAGAAAAAGATAATTTGTCTCTCTATATAAGATAGTTTAGATAATTGTACTGCTGATTTCTGCTGGTCTATTGAAAGGATTAGTTAATGCTTACATTTTTTTTTTCCTTTTTCAAATTTCTTATAGCTTTTTAAAACAAATTTTGCAGGTTTTTGTCTGTTAACTTAAACAACTAATTTGAAGATAGCATCCTGTAATACAGTAACCATTGTTGAATCACTATTACTTTGTTTAGTGAAATTTTGTATCATTTATAATGCTGTTTTTTCTATCACTATCTTGTATTCTTTAAAAATAAAACACAATACAATTGAGCTTTCCAGTGGAATGTCCTTCCGCGTGCTACCCTAGGGTGTGTAGCATTGCACCTTGGCCTTTTACCCATCACCCTCAGGGAGACTGAAGAGGCAGAGGCATGGTGTGAACGTCACGCTGAGCTGCCTGCACATCCACAGCAAACTGCCCAGATCCACCCAGATCTGCCCAGGCATACAGTCCCCATGCCAGCAGATTCAAAGAGAATGTGACAAGCAAACCCAGCCTCCACCTGCTGCTCTGGGTGTGAACACCTTACCATTTGGCAATTTGCAGTTAAACCAGATATGACATATTTTATTAATATATCACAGTTAACTAAAATCCTGATTTTTTGTTATTCTGTAATCATTCAATGACATTTTAGCAATGACTTCAATTGCTATAAAGAAGGAATACTAAAGAGTTAGTAAACAACAAAGAAATAAGAAAGAGAACTTGCATCTGCAAAACAACACCCAAGACTAGAAGTGTAGTGCAAAATCAGCAAGACGGACAACCATAACACCACATGTGAAATCCTAAACTTTATTCTTTTAATTTAGATCCTCCTTCTTTCTTTCCTTTTTCTTTTTTCGTCTATGTCTGCAGACCATAATGATGGCATTCCCTCTGGGGAGCTGACACCTATGCCTAACACATCTGAATTCTTTTCTCCTCCTCTTCCCATTTCCCTCTCCCCTCCTCCCCAAGCCTTTTTGGCTTTAGACATTTTTGTTTTGTTTCTTGAGATAGGGCCTCACTAGGTAGCCCAGGCTGGCCTAGAACTCATGACCATGCTCCTGCCTCAGATCTCAAGGGCTGATAGCAGAGGTATGCACCACCACACCCAGCGCCATTCTTTCCATCTCTTGATCCACTTTCATGGGAGAAAGGTCTAGCTTCCCACTCCATGTTCTCCACCTCTTATTCTGCTCTTTATTTATGCTTTGGGTTTCTCCTAAGCTTCATTTTAAAATGGCCAAGAATAGAACAAGAGAAGTTCAAATTATCCAGCCATGTAAAGAAATAGCTGGGGAAAAGTCTTGTGAGCCTTTAGCTGAAAGGCATTCCACAAACATGGAAGCAAAGCCTGAGAAGGGAAAACATGGGAATAACTTTTTCGTTTGTTTGTTTTTTGTTTTTTGTTTGTTTGTTTGTTTTTTAGCCTCGTTGTAAAAATGAGACCTGAAAAAATTGAGTAACATTCAGAATTATTCCTCTCCACAGAAATCATTAGTAAAAGACAAAAGATCTATAGGATCTGGAGAGAAACCAGAGTATGGGAATAACTTTCAAGGGAAAAATTATTACCAGAAAACCCTGAGATGATCAATTCCTGAAGTCACACAGGAACAGGCTTGAGGACCTTTTTGAACAACTATAGGCTTTCATAGAGACCACAGAAGGCGCAGCCCCTAACGCTACAAAAACAGAGCTAAATTAGCTCTGGGATCATCACTGCCTTAGCTTTGCTCTAAACGATGTTTATAACAGTCTCAAAAGAAGCAAACAGCTGCAGTGTAATTTACCTGCTACCATAAAATGATAGTTAGTATTCCTTAAAGAAGCACAACACAATTCAGCTTTGAATGTAAAGAATATAGTATCCACTTAAAATAATTACACACCTAGAATTCAGGAAATGTACCCACCTCCCAGTCCATAGAAGCAGAACCAGGGAAAACAGTAATGTTGGAACAGGCACAAAGAGTGGTAAGCAATAATTATAAATACTTTCCATGTATTTAATGATGTAAAGAAAATAATGAATATTATAAGATGAAGAGGGGTATATTAGAAATTATCCACATCAATTTTATCCTTAAAAAATAGAAGCTTTAGGGCCAGGGAGATAGCTCAGTGGAATAAGTGCTTGCCTGGCAAGCACAAAGTCCTGAGTTTGATCCCTGGTACCAAAAAAAAAAAAAAAAAATAGAAGCTTTATAACAAAATTACGCAAGAAAATGATTAGCAATTGGGCACTGCATTTGAAAAATCAAAGAATTTCAAGAAAGGTAATGAAAATCATCAAAATGGAAGTGAGTCAAGAAAAGGCTTAAAAATAAATATTTAGCTGGACATGGTGGTGTGCACCTGTAATCCTAGCACTTTTAAGAGACTGAGGCAGGAAGACTGCAAGTTTGACTCCTCCTGGGTATTTGAATGACTTAGCATGATCCTGTTTCAAAATAAAAAAATAAAGGGCTGAGGAGATAGCTGGCAGTCTAAGCGCCTGCCTGGCAAGCACAAGGACCCAGGTTTGATCCCTAATACTGCATGCCTTTCAGGCCCCAGAACCCTGGATGTGCCATGCCAGCTACTGAAACTGGGCATAGTAACGCATGCCTGTGATCCCAGTGCTGAGGAGGTTGAGACAGGAGGATTGTTAGGATTGCTATGAGTTTGAGCTGTTCAGTGAGAACCTATGAGAGAGAGAGAGAGAGAGAGAGAGAGAGAGAGAGAGAGAGAGAGAGGAGAGGAGAGGACAGGAAAGGACAGGAAAGGACAGGACAGGACAGGACAGGACAGGACAGGACAGGACAGGACAGGACAGGACAGGAAAGGAAAGGAAAGGAA